ACACACACACACACACATATATCGAATGAAAACATCGACAAATATTTTAGTAGCATCGCTGTTTTTCGATTACGATTGTTTTTCAACGAACAATAAGATAAATCTGATAAACGTCGGGTCGCTCGTTCCGCACAATGTATATACTTACAGCATTGAAAATATTGTTGTTATGCCACGAACTGAAGATTATTTTTTATACTAGATATATAAAATAGTTAATTTAATATTTTAAATAATTATTTACCCTTTAAAGTAATTACTTTACCCTTTCTTTTTCTTCTTTTTTTAAATCTTTTTTAATTAAGCTTTTTTTGCTCTTTATTAATTTTTTTAATTAAACGAAAGCATATTAAATGCGAAAATCCATAAAGTTTTAATCAACCCGAAATTTTATTCAATATGCGCACATTGATTAGTAGCAAATTTAAAACTGATAATATACAACGGTAAACAATATCTTCCAAAATTAATATACATTCCTTTCATACTGGATCAATTTGGAATCGACTTTTTCCTAGCTTCAAAAGTTTAATTAAACGTTTTAACCGTTTTCTTACGCAACTTCTTACAAGTTATCAGTTTTCAATATTAAATATCTTGATGTCAAAATGAAATTCATTTAAATTCCGTTTAGTTAAAGTTTGAAATTATAAGAAAAATTTTATAGAACACAATTGTTTTTATTGCTTCTTTTTTTACAAGTTTCGATATTTTCTAAAATTAATTTTCTATAATCAAATATATTTGTAATGTTTATAATGTAAAATTCATAATTTATGAAAATTATATAAGTTCTTCGACAAACAAAAATTATGAATGAAAAGAGTGGCTTCCAAACGCAAGAAAGAAAGAAATTTGAAAGAAATCCCGAAAATTGAAGAGGGATGATCTTGGGACGCTTTGTATAGATTTTAATAATCCTCTGATCCAAAGTGATTTCTCTTAGGCAGCAGATGAACGAAAGCAGCAGATTTACGTATAATTGAATTTTAATTTACCCGGAGAGAGAACTGTCCTTGCAGAAATAGCCGCGGATATTCAGTCGCTAAACGATAATTGAATCGGATTTCCAAATCCCACGATTAAGTCGTTTCCCTCGTCGATTTAGCGCTTTTCTAGTATTTTCGTTCCTCGTATTTTTCGAAGGAAGCAGGAATATTTTACCTGGAAGGACACCCCGCGCGTATTACAGCCAGCGATGCCAATGGCGTGAATGGCTGATGAATCGGCCCGAATGAATTTTATCGCGCCAATGCGATCCGGCCGCATCCGTCCTCGCCATTTGTTCAGCCTTCGCGCAAGACGAATGATTATATATTTTAACACGAAGCTTATACGTACCGCAATTGAAGCAGCCCGCAGCCGCGGTTTACCACACGCAGCCCTCCCGGAATTGTAGACCGATGAATTGGCTTCCGGATTACGAATGATGCCACAGCCGCGGATCGTACTCCAATTTGCATGGAGCAATATTATTTTATCCTCGAATCCAAGGACCGGCTTGCGTTCGTCTCGTACACACGCGCGTGCGCGCGCGCGCGCACGAATATCAATATGTGAGATGATGAAGTAATTGTTATCATGCACGCGGAAATCCAAACTTTCCGATATACTTTCCGATTCAGTTATTGCTTTTAATCTTCTTTTTTCCTACTTTTGATATGTAATTTAAAAGAAAGCGATGTGCGAGGTTGCTGCTTAAATTAATTGAAGGATAGATGTTGCTGACAATTAATTTTATATTTAGTTAAATTTTATGCTTCGTTTGCAGCATTTGAATAAAAAATTATTTTAAATTTATAGACATTTTCGGATATTTTTGCATTATAATTTTTTTTTTAATATCTTCGCGTATTGTCGTTTCTTATGACAAAGTCATACTTTCGAGAGACAGTCTCGAACGTCCGCTGAAGCTATATATGTAATGAATACTGTACGAAACATTTACGCATATATTATGCACTACTGCATCCTGAAATTATGGTAATGTGACGTTTTTAAAGTGAAAACATTCCAAGTGTGCAATTTCGTGACATGTATGAATATATAATGGTTTCTTTGACACGTACGCTGTTGGCAATTCTTGAGAAAGAGGACTCTGAAGGATGATGAAAATGAACATATTCATGTTCGATGTAATTGTGAATTAAATTATCCAATATTTTTTACAGAGTTCTAATAGATTTCTAGGGAAAAAAGATCATTAATGAACATCCGTGCCCTGGTTATTCTTAATTAATGAATATCCGATGGCGCTAATGTAATTAACGGCATTCGATTAACGGAATTGCGAACGAAAATCGTCAAAATAGTTCCACCGTCTATTCCCATTTTTCTTGAATTAACTATGCAATTATACTTTATGCTTTTTTTAAGCAGATGGTACGAGAGAAGCAGACAAAAATGCAGTCATTATCGTATTAGGATTAATTCATTATTTATAATTTGTACAGCCTTATCTTTTTCAGCGTTACAATTATCTTGCTTTTTCATGTTTCTCGTTTTTTCTACAACAAATTATCAAATAATAGCCACAAAATCTACAGTTTCTACGCGGTCTGTTTGAAAATTGTTTTAAAAATAGCTTTCAGAAGTAACCTAAAACAAAGCGTTTTAGTCATTTTTCTCATGCTTATATGCATCGTAAAGAACAATTTAAGGTTATCAACTTTCTTGGCCATTTCGCCCTTCGTCGTCTAGACGTTGCTGAAATATGTTTTTTCCATATGCAATTTACATATAAAATAGATGTGAAAGAGAGGAGATATCGTTGGAGATAGCGTTGCTATCAACTAGGTCGCAGGTGACGAGTTTGGCCGCATTTCAGGTAAGCGAAACCCGTTCTTGGACGAAGTGCTCGTATGTAGCTGTTTCGAGGATCCTTCACATCTACGAACGAGCCATTTCCATGATCCATCGCGATTCGTGGCATGTACCTATACACTATCTTTTACACATTTAAACGAAGTCAGTGATCGATACGTAAAGATACGGTTTGGGTATTGAACTAAAATAAAGCCAAAGATATTGATATTTAAATGATTGTTTCTTTTATTACGCAACATCTCACAAATTGAAGTTTCTAGTAGAGAAACACAAGCCCTGAGGTGAAACTAACTGATAGAGGATTATGCAAACATGTAATTAGCGTATCAAAGCAACATACAATCCTCAAACTGAGTTTGAGCAGCACGAGCGATTCGTCTGAGACAATTTTGAGGTCGTAACAGATTAGGCTTTAAGCTTGATCGACCGAACAACTACAGCTTAGAACCCGAATGGTGTTATTAAATCACCAAATCCAGTTACGATCACCTATAAAGTGTCTATACAACTAATCCGCGATAGTATTCAGCTACTACTAAAGTTTTAGTAAATAAGGAAGTATATTTGGATTTCGGCTATTTCCGAAATATATCAGAAGGGAGATTTGACTTTGGGAGTAAATCTAACTTACACGCTGCTTGCAAGATAAGCAGGGTTCAAAACAAAGTCCATATTTTGCGATATTAATATGCAACGGCACGCAGTTTTGCATTTTACTTATATTTTTTTAAATAAAATTAATGTGATTATCTTAATATTATAAAATTAATGATTATTTTAATACGCTACCTCGCTGTGTGTGTTTTAAGAAAAAAAAAAAAAGAAACAGATCGTTTGAATTAAAAATTATTTACTCACATTTTAAATGCAAGAAGGAGATAGCTATTAGTATATCAAATTGCTTTTAATGAATTGGCATTAAAGTGCACACGTTTAAAACAATTATCAATCTTCGAAAATCATATTACATCTAGCATTGTTCGATATTTAGATTTCTATAAAAATTGTTTACGAATGCCTGCAATCGACGTAAACATCACAAGTTTCATAGAATATTTTTCTTTTCTCAGCCATATGTATGTGTCAAGTGCATACATTTTCTAATATATCTCTGCTTAACAAGTTAAAAAGCTATCAGATTATAAAATATTGCACACACTTCGTAACACAATACGCATATAATGGATTATCTATGAGAGATTTCTTATAACTATGTTACACATTAAAATAAATAATTCTATTTGACTACATCCGTCAGTAAAATATTAGTTAATAAAATATTTGTCAATAAAAATGAAACACGGCAACACGATGTAAGTGCATTTATTAACATATACGTTGTAAAGCAGAACATAATCGTTTATTTGTTTATTGCACATGCTATCCCGCCATTAAAATCAGAATTTGCATTTGAATTTTAATGAAAGCCGATAATTTAAATGTAAATTAAAATGCATATTTTACGCTCATCCGGTTTGGTCGAAACGTGTGCATATCGCTACTTACACACGGCATACATTTTCCATGTATCCAAAAAGAATTTCTCTCATTACGTTAAGATATTTTAGTTTAGTTTCATATAATATCGCTAAATAATTAATAAAATAAACGCACATTTTTATAAAGTTATATTTGTTTTATTGTTTTCTCGATATAATATTCTTTTGTGTATATATTTAGTAGATTAATCGTTTAATCTCTCTTGCGATATACTTGTGCATGCGATGCGTTTGTGCAGCGACGAATTTTAAAAATAATGTCTACTTTTTATCGGTAATGAGATTAAATATTCATATTTAGATCACGTTCCATAGAAGGGATGCAATCAGCAATCAAAATTTGATTGTATACCTCCTTTTTGCACAATCGAATAATTTCAATTGTGAGACAACACTGCAAAGGTAAACCGTATGACTAATGAATACACAAAACTTTTAAAAATAAAGCGAATAAGCGTATCCGCGTGGAATAAAACTTATTCATATCGTAACAGCTGCTGCTCATAAAGAATATAAAGAATTATCACGTTATATTAATCGTAATATGGTTCAGATTATACCGAATAAGGGAACGGAATCTTTTTAACAAATTTTTAGCGAGTCAGTTGTCTTCTGCCATGCATAACTGTGATGTTATAAGTTTAATTTGCAATTTTATCTTGCTATTTGTTTCAGGCACTTTTACAAGCTCACGATGTTGCCGGCCACGAGGTTTATGGCGAGGAAGCCACCAGAGTAACACCACCGCCGCTCCTTACGTATCTAAATGGCGGCGACGATCTCGAAGGACAAAACGGCGATTTAGACGAAAAAATCACTCGTGTCAGACTGGTGCAATTCCAAAAGAACACAGATGAGCCGATGGTAAGTAGCGTTTCAAAAATTGCAATTTCGGCGATGTGTGAGAGTGCTTTTAATTTGCGAAGCGCGACGTTAGAATCTTCATAATCTGTAACATAATGTCTACGTGGAACAGAAGATAAAATATAGAGATACATATTTTTTGTGAAAAGCTTATTTTCGAAAATTTTAAAAATGTAAGGATGTAAGGGTGTAAGCAAAAATGTAAGGACAAAACATATTAACGTGAAAGACATTAATGAGATGCCATTTGAGTTACTTCATATATTTCAATATTTCTTTATATTGTGATATAGAAAAAATGTGATAACGAAAAAAAATCTAATAAAAATTATTCGCAGCTTTATACTTTGGGGATAAGAGAAAAAGATAAATATATAAATGTGAAATCTGTCTTTACCGTGATAATTTTCATTTTAAATTTGCGTTATTTATTAGACGCGCAGCTTAATATGGCACTCATCATATTCGAAACGTGCTTTCATAAAATGTGTAAAAAAACATCGCATTTACTACTCTTAACTTATTTTACATTTTCCGACCACTTTTCAGGGAATCACGTTGAAAATGAATGAAGACGGGCAATGCTTCGTTGCGCGGATTATGCACGGTGGAATGATCCATAGACAAGCCACTCTTCACGTCGGTGATGAGATCAGAGAGATCAACGGTATACCAGTTCAGAATCAATCCGTAAATGCCTTGCAAAAGATTCTGGTAAGTATAAGATTATTCTCATCTGCCTGCGAGCGAAATTTCATGGATGCAGTTTCTTTTCTTTAAAGTTAGTTAGTTCTCAAAGCGATCAGATATATTTCCTCGCGGTGAAATATATCGTAACTCAATCATATATAACTTTGGATTACAAAATTAATAAAAGTTGTACTTTTTAAAGTGGAATACGCTTATCGGAAAGTAGATCTTGCATCATTTAGTATTGGACGTAGTTTCTGAAGAGTCGGTCCTCTTCGATTGTTACAGCGGGAAGCACGTGGATCGGTGACTTTCAAGATCGTGCCGTCGTATAGGAGTGCGCCGCCCCCCTGCGAGGTACAAGTAAGACCCAACACCCAAACCCATCCTCAAAATACTATCGCGTCTAGTAAGCCCACATCCTCCGCAGCCTCCACGGGCGCGAACTCTGGAGGCGGTGCGAACAAATCCGGGAAACCGGTGAAAACCTCTGCGGCCACCACGAGCAAAGAGAAGGCGCCTAAGGCGTCCAAAGCTTCCAAATCTAAGAGCGCTTCCTCGTCCACCGAGAGCACACCTAGGCGTCGCTTGAACCCATTATCGGCTCTAAGATCGCGAAAGTCTTAAACTCTTCGAACGATCTTAATTTCAAGTAGTCCACTCGGTTAGATCGTACATTCGCAGAATTGCCGGAAGCACGCCTGCTTCTAAACGTATAATGGTAGATCTTCCCCCGGGACAAAAACTTATGCCTTCTTCCGACACTGCTAAATTAATTACCGAGATAGCAAAGTTGTTTACGAACTTAGGCCTTATAGAGTAGGTAGTTCTTGTAACTAGTAATTATGCATGTTAGCCTTTTTTCCAACACACGCTTTATTATATTGATTACCTAATGCTATTATAAAAATTTTTTTTATTGACAAGGACATAAAATGTTGTAATACATAACGTAATACGTAATTAAAGTAAAATATATGTTTAACTTAAAATTAATATATTATATATAATGAATATGTTATTTAATTTATTTATTTATTATTTATTACTTTAATTTTTATTTAAATTATATACAATCGATTTTTTTTAAATAATTTCTTTTTAGAAATTATTTATTTTCATTTGATAGAACTGCTAAATATAAATTATTTATCTTGTAAATTTCTTTAAATACACTTTGGAGAATCAAACTTATCTTCTAGTCATATTGCGGTCCCGGATATTATTATTGATTATAACCTAGGGACATGATTCGAAGCATAAAGTGATCTATCGATTAAAATAGTTTGCCTTAGTTTTCTTTGCGATCTTCTGGTCTAACAAGTCGACTTCGAGGTTCCTGATAGAGTTCGCAATGATAACAACTAACAATTTGCATTACATAGATTATTAGAACAATTATACATGGAGGAAAATTTAAGAAAACAACTAACTTGATTAGACAATTCAAATTTGACGCACTTTCGTAGTGAAGTAACACTTCATATTTAATTTAATAAGCTGGAATACACTGTATGAGTATTACTTCAAAGAGCCTACGCAACGTACGAGTCCCCGCCTATTATCCGTTTCGCGATTAGGAAAGTTTCGGATAACGAACAGAGGGATATGCGATTAGTTTCTCAATAGTTTGCAGTTCGTATACAGTTTCCCACGTAATTCCATCCAAGGTAGACCATGGAGTTTACAAGGAGTTTGCAAGAAGAGATGTGGTTAATAGTGTCCACTTTGCTTTCCATATAAGATAATCTGATATCAAAAAAATTATATATATTACAACGTACAATCGACAACAAATATAAAATATAAATTCTTCCACGAAAGATTTAGAATTATTTTGGAGTATATTTTATTAAACTCATAAATTCTCTCATAAATTTGAAATCAGAATTTATGCAAGCTTTTAGAAATAATATTACAAAAAGTAATTGAAAGTGTAATATTCCTTTTGAGAAATGTATGATCAAGCCTAATTAATATATATATATATATATAGCCTAAAAAATTATGATTTAAATTTAAATATATTTTTTGATGAATTTAACGTAAACTTTTTGCTCTTAATTAACAATTACAAAGATTTATTAAAGAATTGGTTAATAATAAAAATTTTTGACAATATTTTAAATGGGTTATACTCTCTTATAGAAAATTAATTAGATATTTAATTATACATTAATAAAAGAATTGTTTTGTTACATTATATTCTTGCACAAAACAGAACAACAATACAATTTTTCACACATTAATATAAGTTTTCAATCGACATTCTTTTTAATTTATTAGAGTGAAAAAGGATACGTTTCTCTCTCAGATTTCTGAAATAACGTAATTGGAAACATAGTTTCTCTACTAATCTTCATTGACGGAGAGAAACTGATATCTGGCTTTACGTGTGCTAGCTATGTGATATTCTCGAATAGTTGAATATATTCAGCGATAAATTTTGCCATAGTTCAATGGTCTGGCAACTTCAAATATGTCCGGTCATATTTGAAATTATAGTAATTAGCGTACACGTTTCATTCGGAGGAACAAGTTTTTAGGAGGAACGTAGAATTCTCGAGGCAAACGACAAGAACTTCTCTTTCCATGATTTATGAACACGTTTGCATTTTGAGCTAATTACAAGTACAGCAAATCAGCGAGTACAATAAATTTTTATCTTTCCTTTTTGTCGGGGCACGACATGTTCGGCATTAC